TGCTCCGTGCGAATTAGAAAACATCAAATTTCCAGGAAATTGTTGAAGATCAATTGTTTGTTTTCTTGTTAATTTCGCAACTTACATAAATAGCTATTTTCTTTTTTTTTTTTGTAATCTATCTATTCTAGAGATTTCGGAGAACATGTAGAATGTCATTGTTTATCAAAAATAAGTTAATGAATCACAATTTTACACAGTTTTTTTGGAAATTGATCAGCGTACGAAAGGTAAAATTCTTTGATTCGTCTTATCAGAAAATTTCGCCGATCCAATGAACGTTACAACGTTTCGTCTATTTTTTATTTTAATAAAATTACCACTACAATTTTTGCGCAACATTACACGGAAACACAGAGAAGGTTTCGGACTCCAGAATTGTTTGTTACGCCACTGTCCGTAAGCGATTTCATCGCGTTTAACGCGGCCGTGCCAATGAACGGGTTCTGTGATTTCGATAAGTTTACAAATTGCGCGCTGATTGCAGCGCGCGAATCGATGTCTGTATTCGAAAACGCGTTTTCTTTTTTTCGTTTTTCAGAGTGTCTCGGTCTCGATTCCTCGGTAATCTTGGTCACAGGCGACCACTTCCGAGACAATCGAAGACTCTTCCAACCGAAAGTTTCTCAAAGCGAAAATTCGTCAAAGATAAAGAAAATATGAAACGGTGTTCTCTCGCTTACCCTCTCTTACAGGAGCACACACGCATACACACATACACGCGCGCGTAAACATATGCACACACAGTCTCTCTCTCTTATTTTCTTTTTTTTCTTTTTTTTTAAATCTCTCCTCTGCTTGCCCGACGAACTAGAAAGGACTTTGTGGGAGAGGCTTCGTCTCGTCGACTTTCTTTTTGATTCTACCCTCCTATCCCGTACACCACCCTCGATTAAGTAAAACGATAATATAAAAAGGAAATGTCGTGTCTAGATGTTAAAAGGGCCGCAGAAGCCGCTACGTATTTTTGTGTACTTGTTTTTGTTTTTTTTTTGTTTTTTTTTTTTTACGTTTTGTTATTCGCTTTAACCCGCTCTTCTTTCTAGTGTTGATACATATACATATATATGCGCTTTGCTAGCTCCTATAAATTTTTTTTTTTTTTCTCTCTATCGTGCACTCCTCCGTACACCACTCGCTTCTTTCCTTTGGCTAGGATTATAAGTAAAACTTGTCAAGCTTTCGTGAAAAATACCGATGGCTCTTAGGATATATTGTTGGTAATACGATACCGAAAGAAAGATAAACGCACGCGAGTCGCTCGGCTTGTCTGGTGGATCAAGACGAGGCAGCTTTTGGCCGGTCGCGCGCGGTTGAACACACGAAAACAGGGCTCGATTGTTGTGAAATGCTCGTATTCGATATCGTTAATTTTCTTGAAAAATCTTTTTAACCCAGTGGGGATCCGCGAACAAGTCAAATAACGGATGGAAAAATGATCGCATAGAAATTTGTTAGGTCTGGAGATTCACGTATCGTTTCACGGTATTTTTAATTTAAAGAGGAGTTGAATTTCAAACAATTTTTATCGTAACCTGTTGTCGACGTTCCCCATTCACAAATAGAGCCCCCTTCTGGTGTCTAATCGCATACAACCCGTTAACGGTATACGACATGATCTCGCTTAAGCGCTCCACAAAACGCGCGACACTCTCGACAAATTAATCGACACTTTTTTCTTTGTTTAAATCGCTCTATTCATGTCGTATGTCCTTTCCATATAAACGATTACCACGAAATTCCTCGAGGAAAAGAAAACTCTGACGTGAGGAAGGCAGCGGCGACAGTTCTTGATCGTGCATACACGTATATATTATATATCACAGTAAAAAAATACTGTGGAAAATATAGTATAATAAATATTCTTAATAAAAAAGAAACGGAAGTTTCCTTTCTCACGTTTACAATATGTTTGTTTGTTTTTTTTTTGTCGTGTTTTCCATTTTTTTTTTCAACCCTTTTTTTTATTTTATCAGATAGCTTATTGGCGATAGAGTACATCGATCCGAGAGTGATTTGAATCTAGTTCGCGCGTCGTTAATCGGTGGAGGTGTCATTTAAATGTCAACGACACATCCCCGTCGTTAAAATTATCGTATCAATTATATTACAGTCAGACTCCTTTCCCGCGTGATTGGGCTACTATCTACATTACAAGCCCAAATATTATTATTTACTAATAAATCGATTATAACGATAAGAAACGGTATCGTGATAAGAGCGTACTATACGATAAATAATCGAGATTCAATTAAACCTGAAAATTTCATCTCTCCCTACATAGTCGGAGAACGCGTGTTTCGATCACTGTCTCGGCTTCGCAATTTTTCGCGCTCTTCGTTTTTTTTTTTTTTTCATTTTTTATTTTATTTGAATTGTTCACGGTGTACCTTCAGCCGCTTCTCAATCAACGTTTTTCTTTGATACGTGTGTACGCGTACGTACGCGTTTTTATGTTTTTCTTTAGTTTCAATTGAAACGACACGTGACACACGTCCACGCACACGCGCGACGTTTCGCTTAGGCGCACCTGTGCGTGGGTGTGCCACGCGCGTCCCTCGAATGTGTTGTTCGTGTATACATATAAATATATATGTATATTTATCTATACGTGTATATTTTGTTATTCATATATTTATATTTATACGGTAGGCAACGATACGTAAAATATAGTTTGAACGGAAATCGAAATTTCGATTCGTTCGAAGGAAAAAACGTCTTCGTCGAATAGAAAAGGGGGAAATGTCGTACGCATTCTATTCTTCCTTCATTACGTAACGAGATCAAAATTTCACCTTTTAACGTATCTGATTTTTCATGAAATTCGTTGTCAAAATTTTCCACCTTTCTTTCATGTTTCCTTTCTTTCTTTTTTCTGGGGAGACGGTGTGTGTGTGTGTGTGTGTTTCTTTCACGAAAATTTCTCATTCTTTGATGGTCGTCGGGGCGCGGATAAGGGCGTGATAAAAACAACCGTTTAAGCCACGCAAAAATATTTCTTTCTTTTTTTTTTTTCTTTTCTTTGTTCTACTTGTTACTTTCCGTTACCGAGAACAATTTCTTTCAACCCCTATTTGATTTTTCTTTCTGCAGACAAAGGACATCCGGGAGAATCGTCGAGATCGACAGAGAGCGGACAGACTTGCTTCCGAAGACCTTTTAATCTTTTTTTCTTTTTTAACACTTTCCTTACAATAATCGTAACCTCATGATGTTACGTTTGGTTTTACTTCGCTTTTCTCTACGTCTACGAATTCTCGAGAAAACCGACATTAACCCTTTGAGTGCTACGAACGCATAAGCGCGTCCACAGAGACCTACCTGCGTGGACAACGAAATACTTTTTCATGTTGTTTGTCATCAAGTCCGAATGTGGATATTCGTTAATTTTTACGTTAGGATATGTTTCACATTTTAACGTTTTCAATAAAGTAACGATAATGTTTGGAAAGAAGGGTGTCCACGTGGATAACTTTGGCCAAGAGTATTTGAGCACTCAAAGGTTCAAATTGTGCATTACGTTGTTAAAAGAAAAACAAAAACAAAAGAGAGAACACGAGAAACTTGCGACGATACTCCGAGGCACCCTTTCGTTCTTACAAATATATATATATATATAAATTCACATACATCTATATATATATATTTATATGTACGTAATGTAAAAAGCCGTTTCGTTAAGATTATACTGAGATTTCAGAATCGAAGTGACGGAAAAAATTGTAACAATAAAAGTGTTAACAGTATTAATACAGAATTCGACTGTTCGTACAGGCGAGAGACCTTTCTCCAAGGTACGTTTGGGGACGCCCCTACTACATCGTATAGTACATAATAGCGTTAAAAATAATAATAAAAATAATGTTAATAGCAAAGTAGGCGTGTGTAAAAGTTCCAAGATTCTTTCGAATTCCGAAGTGACGTGGAAACAAGGGGGAACGTAAACTCGCTTGCGCTTTTCAAAACTCGAGAATAAAAAAAATGGTAAACGCAAGTTCGAAATTTTATCGGTTTTATACGAAGAAGTTATATACGGTATACATAGCAAATCAGAGTTCATAGCTTTGTCTCTCATTGATACTTGATTATTCGTCGATAAGATTATTGTTATTACGTGTGCGCAGGAGTCTTGCTGCGTTCTAATGGGGTCGTGAATTCCTGTAAATTCTTTTCTTATTTTTTTACGGGGGGGAGTGAGTCGACCGGAAACGTCAGTGGTCGAAGCATTTCACGCGACCAATTCCATATCTTCTTAGTTTTTAATAATATCCGAACTTCGTGATGTCGGATGATATACGCGTTTTTATTCAGTTTAGATCGGTATACAAGTGTATCGTTATCTTTCAAGTACCATATGCAAAGGTTTCGTTTTCAGTTAGACACACACTCCTAAAAAAAAAAAAAGAAAAAGGTTTCGAGTTTCCCCTTAATTTCTCAGGCATTTCGTGTTAAGGCAATCAGTATAATCTTTTTTTTTTTCTTTTTTTTTCCCCTCTTTCTTTACATTGTTAATTCCCTAAGTTTTAGGTACTCGTCGCTAATTTACACACCGCAAAGTACAGGACACGAATGATCGTTCGTTCGACCATTCCAACGAGAAAGGTGCGTATGGTTAAGCGGATACGTTCGAGAGGGTATACGGTGAGAATCAAACGAAAAAGAAAATCCGTGAGAACGAGTGAAAAAAAAAACGAAACGATCTCGTCTCTTTAAACACCTTTGGTTATTCGTAACGTTATTATTATAAATTCGATTGCTGATTTCGTTATCAGTGAAAGCCAGAACACGCGAGCGTTAAGACGATTGAAAAAGGAAAAAAAAAGAAAAAGAAAAGAAAAAGTCACACGCTACATATTTCATATAATTTTTTATCAGTTTATATGTATATGTATATGTATATGTATATATGTATATATATATATATATATATATATAAAATTATATATATATACATATATATATAAAATTATATATATATATACATATATATATATATATAATTTTACTTTGTTTTTTTTTAATCATACACGTTTTGCAGATACACCCACAAATTAATTCAACGTTAAGATGAGAAAGTAATATAAAGGAAATTAATTACAATACGAAATGCACACAAATGATAAGCGAGAAATCTGTGCAAAAATTAATTAAAAAAAAAAAAAAAGAGAGAGAGAGAGAGAGAAGAAGAAGAAGATGGGAGGGTTGAGGAGGCGGAGAAGTAATTGAGACATGCTTGTTACTCGTTTCAACAAGCACTTTCTACTTTCGGTAGAATCTTCGCGAATTACACGTGCGTCATACGCACGTACTCCAAATGGATCGTTCTCGGTATTCTTTTACCGCAACATACAAATTAACGAACATCCCTTGTGTCGTGAGTTTCTCGATTCGACTGTTCTTTTGGTGTAATTATTGCACGTAGCAAAATCAAATAAAAGCGTCCATTATCGAAAAAAGGAACAAAACACACGTACAAGCATTTGTCTTGTATCGTACCATAAAATGGAGGCGATTAGATTAATGAACGATTATCGATGAAAAACAGAGAATATGTAAGTTCGACAGTGCGTTTACACGTAAGAATCGAAAACACCGACAGAAATGAGGACCCTAATAAATACATTAATTAAATACAATTTCATTTTCACAGAGAAAGCCACAGTTTGATCAACACGTTAAAGCTCAGTCTAATCCCTCCATTTTAGAAGATCAATTTCTAAACAGCTGTAACATGCAAAGGAATGGCTCGCCAACCTGATATTTACGATTATTCATTCTGTGACACCTATCCGAAACGATTCGATTAATTAAAATTGCTTGTACCGTTGTCTACAGAATTTCTTGTTCATAACAAAGCATCTATGTACATGTAATTTACGCGATTCCGCAAAGCATGAGAATGATTTTATCGTTACGCAAATTTAAAAAAATTTAATCAATCGCTGCCGTGAAACATTCCATCCGAACGGATCGTGGCCGGCAACGGTAGATTTGTAATTTTGTATAAAACGTATTCGTATCTTAAAAATAGAGAATATATTAGCAGCTGAGCGTTCGAAAATCTACACAGTGAGACGAAAAATAAACATGGTGCGTATGACGGGCGTTGTTTTGTTTTGTTTTTTTCTCTTCTTAAACTGTCCGAGTTTCACGTGGGATTTGAACGAAATATATATTTTTTGGTATCGTTTACCTCAACTGATCGATTGAAACGTTTAACTCTGTTCTAACGTTGCCCAATACAGTCACCAGATATAATTAATTCGATATGGAAGAACGTGGCAAGACTCACTGAGGAGCGTGTACGAGAAATGTATATGACTGCAAAAAGTGAGTTATGTACATTATTTGCATGTGTCGGCGAATCAGCCCTTGCCCTTGTTCCATGTCACATAACGACAAAAGATGGCGAGATTAAGAGTTTAAAAAGTGATAAGATAAGGAGGGTGAGGAGGAGGGCATTCGAATAATTATTAATATATAATATTATAATAATAACAATAATGATGAGGTGTTCTAAACAGTGCTAGGACTAGTGCTAGAGGGTCCTGTGAGGAATCAGGGTAGGTGGGTACGGGCTAAGGAGGGGTTAGTGTGGAGGCGGAGGTTCCGTAGATTGATTTCGGCCATCTACAGCCCTAACCGGCTTCCTACGTGAAGGACCTGTTACTCCAACTGGACCAACTCCACCTCTAAGGTACGCTGGTGCCGGGGTTGCTATCGGTTCTCTGATAGTTCTACTAATTGGTAGCGGTAGTGGTTGCTGCAGTACCTATGTAACAGGATTACAAATACCGGATTATATTCCTCGAACTCCTGTTTCCTTCAAAGTCAGTGTTTTCCAAACTGTGGGAGGATGCACCTTCCAATCCAAGGCAGACGGAAACGAAACTTTTGCATATAGAAACACGTGGATAAATATTAATAAGGGAGACAATGTTTCAGTCTTAAACAAGCCTTTATTTACGTATCGATCATCTGATTTGAAATCTTCAGAGTGTTAACAGGAAAGTAAATCTATGGATGAAACAGTAGTCGTAGGATTATAGACAACAGTACATTTGGAACAGAGGACATTCAATTAAAATTCTGTTATTTCGTAAAGCTTACCTACCATTGACATCGTTGTAGAAAATCGAACCGGTGAAAATAAAAAATCTGAAGGATATAATCCACAGTGTGCACGTCACCAACGATACATGGGTAAATCAATCTGTTTTCTTAGTTCTTGAGTCTTTTAACTATATTGTAATTTTTCTGTTACAATTAAATTAGCTAAAAAAACTATATTCAATACGAATAAAGCAATAACATTTATTACATATTATTATTATACATATTATTTAATAGTCATACATCAATCCTAGTGGGTTTTTTACATATATATTAGTTATCAATTTCAGTTAATCATAGTTTCGTAAATATTTACTCTTAATCTTCGACGTTTTCTATTTTTCCTCAGTTATATTTCATTGTAAACGTTACAACAATAGTTGTCCAGCATTGTCCACAATTCTATGACTACTGTCTCTCTGTTTCATTTTGCATACAAGCATCTCTACTATCTTTCTATATAAATACATTTATCATTTTAAATACTTCACTTACTCTCATTTACTTAATGCACTCATTCTGATGTTTTTATTCGAAAAGATTACATAAATATATTACTCAGATTTTTGCGACTTTTTCTTTTATATCACATTATTTGCAGTATGCAGTGTAGTAAATATTACCTATTTATTAATACGAGAGTTTTGCAAGCATGTAACGTGACCAGAGGTTATCTTTAAATTAATTTGTATATTCAATAAGTAGAAAATTCAATCGATCAAAATCAATAAAAACAACTCATTTTGTATGAATTAAAATAAACATAACAACAAATATTTTGTCCATATATCTCATGCATAGAAGGTTCCCTTTATTTCCTAACGAGGGCGCTTTTTCCAAAAAGTTTGGAAACCACTGCTTTAAGTAGCCTTCAACTGTCCGTAATTATGTGCTCAATTAATTCATACATACTTACCAGTGGCTGAGGTAATACACTATGCATCAGTGTTTGAACCATAGGTGTATTCTGTGATGCGAGGCTATTCGAGTTTGGGGGCAATCCTTGACTTTGTAGACCCGTCCCCACACTACCTGCAGCTGCCTGAACAGTATGCGGCTGTTGCGTAGAAGTTTGCGTTACATGTTTACTCGTCGCTTGATCCCTTTTTGCTTCTTGAGTTAAACTTAATTTCTTTGTCGAAACCGTGGAAGTATTAGCATTTGGTGTTTCAGGACTGGTTGTGGCAGTAGTCGCACTCGACACTGGTGTTTGCGCTGCAGATTGCTGCTGTATTAACTCCGGCAATGTTTGAGAGAGAGTTCCGACGATAAGTTCGCGTGTAAAGAGGCTCCTATTCGCACTTTCGCGTTCAATGTTTTGCAACTGTGAGTCAGATAGAGTAGTCGTGATGCATCTATAAAAAGAAAAGAAACGTTATGAGTAAAGATAACCTCGCCGTTTTATGAACATTAAGAAAAGCTATATGTCTGTTTTACTCTCAAGGGGATCATATTAAAATATAGCTTTTGGCAGCTGGCACATTGACCATTTCAGACAAAGAACTAGCATATATATAATATATCGGAATTGTTTACGTGTATATAGCGACGCTCAATGAATGATGTTGAAGCGAACGCTTGAAAGAATTTTTGCCCAGATTTAGATATATCGTTAAATTTTGCAATACGAACATATAACATACCTTGGCAACAGAAACATATAGTTCTGCGAATTGGTGGATGATGCGCCGGACGGGTTGGCCACACTGGCTGCATTATTGTTACTACTCGTACTATTTGTTACCACGCTGGTCATAGTACTAGAATGACCACCTCCACTAGTACCTCCTCCGCCGCTTACAGAACCGATAGGCTGAGTCTGCCTCCTAGGTAACCGCTCCAATTGTTGCCTAGCAGCCTGAAAACATACTTTCATAGTACTATGCGTCCTAACTTCATTTTACTATTAATCTTTTACTCAGAATGAAATTTTTTGAAAATCTCAAATTATTCTTACTCTAACTTGTTGTCGCTCCAATTGTAGCTGCATTTGCAATTGTTGTAATTGTGATGGCGTTGATGCACTCTGACCAGTTCCTGCACCACTTCTACGAACACCGGATAATTGAGAGAGTAATTCTGCAATTGAATCTATACCATCTCGACTACTTGGACTCAATCCCCCGGACGAACTGAAATGCATATTGGACCTGCAGGTCCAATGACACGCCAATGAACATTATCTAAGATGAGATGACAATGATAAACTGAAGCCGAAATCTTACTCCTTTTAAAAATGCTCTGAGACAAAATGTACTTTTCATTGCAAGGAAAAGCATGTAGCGTTATCCACATATGATTACTAAGTGATATTTTAATAAACGATAAGTAATGGTTTGGATTATTAAACGTTATAGTACAAGTACAAAAAGAATGTTATTCGATAAAATTACATGCATTCAAGTATAAACTCCAAAGTACATATCCAATGAATCAATTCAAATAAACGATAAATGTACTTATACCTAAAAATACAGTACTCTACTTCCAGAATATACTGTAATACCTACTTTAAATTTAATTTATAATGTACGTCGGCATACATACCTGCGAGGTCGTGGCCCACCAATCGGGGCTCTAGCCGCATTTGGTACCCGTCTAGCATTATGTCTACTTGAAGATGGTTCATCCAGAAAAGAGATCAGATCTCTTGGTCCACTACGATGCTCCAAACTCAAGTGCCCTCCAAAATCGTCGGTCACATTATTAGGTTCTCCTCCTGGGATAGATGCACATACTGGACAAACCTATAATGAAATTATAAACAAAAATTTCCTTGATAATATTATAAACGCTCGACGGGACAAAATACTTTGATATACGTACGACTTCAAAAGAAGTGTCTGGGTGATCTGTGGCTACATGTTCTTGTAATGTGGCCTCGGTAAAACCCATTCTTGTACAGTAAGGACAAGTTAAAGATTGTGGTTGCTCTATACTCACTCCCTCTCCACCATAATATAATTCTATCAATTAATAAACAAGAGAATTTATTATTGCAACTACATCGTATTTAAAGTGATTGTCACAGAAAAAATATGATAATTATCTTACCAAAGTCAGATCTAGTAAGTATACACTGCATAGGGTGATCAGTGACATGCCTTGTAGTATTGGCACCCCCCTCGTAGCAGCTGGCACACAAATCATAATCGTAGCACACGAGGCACTTGTATCTGCGACCCCGAAAATGCCCCTTTAAGCAGGAGTCACAACTTACCCCTGGAATAAACATAGTCATACATTAATACTTCACAAATAATTACTACTTTATAATAAGAAAAGTGGGTTGAACATATTACCAAACCCACAAGTTTCAGAAAACATTTATGCACAATACTATATATAGTACCTGATAAATAAAGGAAAAACACTGCACAATGTATATATTCAGAATAAGAGCTTGGAAAGAAAAATACAGTGGTTCCTACAAAAGATATTTATATATACCTTGTACATACATATGTGTGCACTAACCTTGAACCAAATCTATAAAAAGTAACTTGCTTAAGTCTACTTTTAAATCTGTCTGCAAATACAAACAATCCTTATAACAAAGACTGTTCCATATTTCCATAAAAATACATACACAATTCTATGAGTATTAATGATGAAATGATGATAAACAAGCAATACAACACAACTATATAGAAATAAACAATCAAAGTGTGCACAGCAAATAATTTCTGATAATCAAGCATAATGTTAAAAGCCTAACCTTTATTTTTTACAAGAAAAATGATTATATTTGAGATTGGATTAATGTTACCTTTGCAATACTACGTAATATTGTGTATTCCTCTACTGTTTACTATAACTCACATTTTTTGTACACAATGCATGTATACAAGTAGCAAAATAATATTTACCAATACATCTATAACTTATGTATACAACACCTAAAATACATCAAAATAAAAGCAGTATTGCTTTTTTCTAATATCTGTCATAAGGATCAATATATCTATACAGATATACTCACAAACAGTTTTGAACTTTAATACAATAATTGTAATTTCAATTATGTAACATGCATAGATATAATGTGAATGTAAAAAACCATGTAGATTAATTTTATGAACATGTCAGACTACAGTTATTTAGACTTTCCTAATAATATTCTAACGTTCAAACTACAAAATCCAGCACACCGTGTTGTTTAATATTAAAATTATGTTATTACAATACAATAAACAAAGTTGGAGTATCCGAAAATTAGAGCTAAAATTGAGAAAAAATCAAAGAAAAAACTAACTCGAGGACAAAGAGCAAGAGGAATACGGTCCAATATGTTTTACATGCCTAACATTATCAGAAAGAGAAGGGAATTAAACAAGAAAACTAATTTCAAAGGAGTCAGCTGGTAGAGCATTCTGACAGCTGGTCAAAAAATATTTTCTCTTAATTTCATTCGTCTCGCTAGAATTGGGTATCAAAATCTGATGACATTGCAAAAAAAATCCACTGAAATCATCAAAGAAGAACATTGCAAATTCACAGAAATTGGAGTAATTTTTTATAAGTGCTGCCATCTGGCCTCTGACATTAGACCCTTTGGCACAGGGCTCGCAAGAAATCTCTTACGAAAATTCTCATGCCTCGGAAATTTCGTAACCTCGATGAACGTATCTGCGTAGACTTTCTACGTGCACTTCCGAATCCCGATAATCCGAGAATCGTACCATCGATGATAAAATAAATTTAGCAAATGCAAATTCGTGGCTGACTTGCTAGCCGAGAACAGCACACACGTACGTACCTTCATGTCGACTCATTTTCCGTTTAAAATCTCATATACGCCGATAGCGCGGGGTCTCGCGATCGAACAGTTTACAAAATACGATTGTTGCTCGCCACTGCGTTAGCTCTTCACGTCGCTCAGTGCAGCAGACACGATGGGAAAAACATTAATCGTCAAACAAAAAATTTTTCGTTAGAATTTCCAGCGAAAACCTAACCCAACTAGGCTACCGTGACGTCATACTAGACCTACGCTCCCGGAGAACGTTGCGGGCAGGGTCTCTGTCATTGCAACGTTGCCATCTCCTTCGTAAACATCCGCGGGAAATTCAAATCTTATCGAGCACAATCGTTGGTCGCACGTTTATTATTATGCAAACTGAAGTAATTATTTAGGAAATTTCATTAAAGAAAATATTTTACGAGTAAGACAAGCGATTATTAAGACATATTCAGAGTTTAAGTGAAATTGAAAGAAAAAGGTAACTTCGAAATGGATGTTGAAAACTATACTAGAATTGACAATACTTACTACTCCTAAAATACAAGGTGTCCCAAAAATGTTGTAACACCTTGAAAGAGGTGGTTCGGGAGGTGATTTGAAACAACTTTTTCCTTAGCGAAAATGTTGTCTGAGTCTTCGTTGAGGAGATATTCACGGAAAACACTGACCAATCAGAGCGCGCGTATACCGTTGGAGCGGCCATGGTAGCAAAGGCTACGTGCTAAGCGGCTGCGTCAATTGTCCTTCGATGCACGTTGAGTCACTTGTTCGCATACAAGCGCGGCCGCTTAGCTCGTAGCCTTCGCTACCACGGCCGCTCCAACGGTATAAGCGCGCTCTGATTGGTCAGTGTTTTCCGTTAATATCTCCTCAACGAAGCCTCGGACAACATTTTCGCTAAGGAAAAAGTTGTTTCAAATCACCTCCCGAACCACCTCTTTCAAGGTGTTACAACATTTTTGGGACACCCTGAATACAATTTGGCTATTTCTAAAAAACATACACATATTTACCATTATTATTCATGATCGAGGAAAGACAAATGTGAGATAAATTAATAAATTTCACAGTTAGTATCGAATTAACGAATACTTAATTTCTGTGTACTTTATAAAAGAGGTATTTCTTTTATAAATTTTTTATCAATGTTTATCGTGGACAGTACCAGCTACTCGATTGACAATCTATTTTCATAGTTTGTGCCGAAATCTGGCAATCTGGCACTCCTTTTACGAACTTTTCCGAGAGTTTCTCGTACGATCTCGTACGACTTCGTATTCTTTCGTACATAATCGCAAACTCCCGAAACCTATTTCACGAAGTAGCTTCATTTATCGAACAATGGCGTCGGCATTCGGACGTGTTATTGTATATGGTGGCAAGGGTGCTTTAGGCACCGCTTGTGTTTCGAAATTTAAATCAGAAAATTGGGTAAGTGAACAACACGAGAAGTTATAATAAAACTGAAAAATTCGAAAAATCGTTTCATTAGCAACGGCCGCATTACTTCTTAAGAAAAGTTCGGGCTGTTCCTTACTATACCAGTGACTGTTGACTGGAAAAATACTGACAACTAGTTTTTTTCCAACTAAAACCAAACTATAGAACATTTCTATATTGATAAATAATTAAGTTTTTATATTTACTGTTAATTAATTCCAGTTACTGTTAAGTGAGTGTATATGAAAACACGTTATCATTGCGCAAGACTTATCTTAAAACATACGTCAAAATGATGTTTGTAAACAATTTAATCCTTTTCTTCGATAATTTCATATATTGACTGTAAAATGTGATATAATAAGAAGGAGGCAAAATATTTCTTAATGTATTTTGTTATTCAAACTTTTGCGGTTTTATAACACGTTTTAATCGATCTACAGAAATTTCGCGCGCTATTTGAATATTATCGAATACAATATTTTTTTTTTACCAATAATGATTATAACATGCATACATATATTATTTGTCTGATGTATTGTAATTTATATATTGTTCTTATTTTCATAATGTGAATCATTACTTTGATAAATATAATAATTTATTATCGTATAAATAATATATATTTAAACAATTAAATTGCAATACTGCGCATAATACTGCAATAATATTTGTCTCCAAAAGGAAGGCAAGGATTGCTAAGTAAAATATAGGAAAGTTACATCAAGGCCATAACTACTGAAATAGAGCCTTTCACAATGTATCACAGCTTATCCTTCATTAATAATGCAAAAACTTGAAATTCTTGTGTATCTAAGATCCTAAAAATTGCTTTTCATCATAAAGAGTAATATTATTTTCTACACTATAAAATAATTGCATATTTTTATATAATTATAATTATTTTGTATACAACTAAGATTCTTTTAAATAACAAAATTGATTACATATTTGTAATACTAATATATCACTTATATAATTGTAGTGGGTTGGTTGCATTGATATGAAACCAAACGAACAAGCTGATGTAAATGTAATCGTGAAACCTGAAAACAACTGGCAAGAACAGGTATTTTTACATATCGTTATATCAGTGGAAATAAGGAAATATATTTGTATATAAAATTATGTTTTTATACGTTATCTAGGCAGTTGATATTTTACAAGAAATTACAAATATTTTGAATGGGGATAAAGTAGATGGAGTGATTTGTGTGGCTGGTGGATGGGCTGGTGGAAATGCTGCCAACAAAGATTTTATTAAAAATAGCGAACTCATGTGGAAGCAGAGTGTATGGAGTTCAACCATTGCTGGTAGTATTGCTGCACATCACTTGAAGGAGGGTGGATTTCTATCATTAACTGGTGCAAAAGCAGCATTGGAGGATACTCCAGGTAAAAAAATCTTATTTGGTACATTATATTATTCTTTTCACTTGAGTATAAATGATACCATTTTATTAAAATAGGTATGATTGGCTATGGAATGGCTAAAGCTGCAGTTCATCAACTTACAAAGTCCTTAGCAGCCAAAGAAAGTGGTCTTCCAAAAGATTCTTTAGTCAGTGCTATTCTACCCATTACTTTGGATACACCTATGAACAGAAAATGGATGCCTAAGGCTGATACATCTACTTGGACTTCTCTTGAATTTGTAGCAGAGTAAATAATTTCTTTTACCTCTATTTCGTGTTGCTCTTTTATGTTATAAATTAAATAATAATATGTTATAAATTTTCACATTTTATTTGACAGCCTCTTCTGGAAGTGGTCTCAAGGTCAAGATCGTCCTGTTACCGGTAGCCTTGTGCAGCTAATTACCAAAAATAACAAAACAGAATTGATTACTGCTTAAAAAAAGAAAACTGGATCTTTGGGAACAAGAACTTCTGGGTGCTTCCATGACAATATACACATACCTATTGTAAATGTTTCATGTTCGATGTTGCCTCTTAATAATTTAATCTTACATTTTTTAAGCATTTATATTTTATGTTATATATATATTAAAACAATTTAATACTATAAATATGTAAGGATATTTTTGTCATAATATTTACATCAGTACGGTATTTATTTCAGTATGACATATCTGCAACAATGAAAGTATATAACAGGAAGAAACTATTTTTTTAAAGATTTTATATATGGTTTTGTGTTTTTCTTTATACAGATATATATTTTGTATAGTAAAATAATAAATACTCTTACATTCCAGAACCTTTTTATGTTTATATTAAATAGGAGAATGAAGTAATGAAAGCTAATATTAATTTTGTTAATTATTGTTGTTAAAAGATGTTAACAAATAAAATAAAAAATGATACTTTAACGCACTACAATGTGGTTAATTATATATGTATATATACCTAATTATCAAACTTATATCATAAGACACAAAAGAAATAATTCTTGTATATTTTAAAAATAAAACCTAACAAATTATATTGTTCAACATAATTAAAAAATAAGTATCTCAAATGCAATTCACTTACTAAGTAACTCAAGTGCCAAGGTTACTGAATTGCCCGGATAGCTCAGTCGGTAGAGCATCAGACTTTTAATCTGAGGGTCCAGGGTTCGAGTCCCTGTTCGGGCGTTTTTTTTTTTCTACACAAATTAGTTATATATTAATCAATTTAAACATATATAATACGAGCTTGATTTAACACGTCCAAAAATTGTAATACTAAGTTTGAAAAAATGTATTGAGATCTGAAATTGCAATTTAACATGTAAAGAATTTTATTTGAAATGTACACAGTGGAAAGTATATGTTTAACATCTATTACAGATTCTAAATTTACGTAATGAACATTTTATTCAGTAAATAAGTAGACATTAATTTATTAATAATGACCAAGTAGACTAACAGTGAAGAAACAATCCTTTTTATGTTTTCACATTGATAAGATCATCCAGGAACTTGGCTTCATCTGAAACAGGAAAATACATATTTATGATATAAAATTACATTTAGTAAATATATCTTGAGGACTAAGTGTTTTACCTATCATTCGTTGTTTCTTCTCTGCTGCAAGTTTTGCATCTCGCATAGGTTTCTCTCTCAGTGCTTTCTCACGAAGAGCTTCTTCTTTTTTACTGAATCTATTATGATGATAAGCTCCATAAACAACTCCAGCTAACAAAAGAGTCCATCGACTAAACTGTACAAAACATTATTATTAAAAACAAGTAAATGAATATTATTAGTACAATATATCTAAAGTATTCCTTAACTTAATAGAAGCAATTGAATATAGTACAGATGAAAACATAAAGAAATATATAAAATCTTTACCGACACTATTTTATGTTCAATTATTTTAACAAAATGTATTATTTAAGTAACACTTGTTTAGGGTTTAATTCATCAAAAAGGTTAGAAAATAACATACAAATTTATCACAGACAATGTATCTTTAAACCTACAAGTTGGATACAAAAAACAGAAATACATTTTACAGTTGTTTCGACGAATAACAATTTAAAATCATTTCACTAAATTCCATAAAAATTATGTAATATAATCAGCTTGAAAAGTACTTGCACTAAAACCCAACTGTTACCGTAATAGAATAAAGCTAGAATAACAGGTTTCTTCGTGAAAATCATTCGAGACAGAGTTCAAACACAGTATTTTGAGATTGCAAAATTAATTAACAAATGACGATACTCACTTTAATTAGTGGAGATACCCTTAAAGGTTTCGGAGTTGCCTCGACAGACGACATTTTGCAAATGCAGTAGGACATAAGAGCACCATCTGTAACTCTTGTCAGTACACAGATTGGCTTCGAGCATTGCCGCGCATTTTTAAAAATTAAAATATGATAATTTAACATAGCAAGTAAAAAACGTATTAAATTTGGTTTATAAGTTAAATCGATTCTTATAATTTTAGAAAAAAAAAAATCAGCAGAATCAATCAAAGCTCTAGATTCTTCAGATAAGCGTGTTGATTAGTGGACCGGCTGCACTTTACTTTGGCGGACCTAAAATTTTCAAGTTTCTTTTACATAATCCTGTAGATTTTGTCGAGAAAAATCCGGAAATGCTAGTTTCAAGGCGAGGAATCCACTAGTTCAGAAGTTATGAAAAGTGGCATTTTAGGGTATTTGACTGACACTTTCGACGCCCTATTGTCTTGTAGCCATACCCTGTCGGTAAAACAGATTCTCGGTGGTGGCGGACTACATTATGTACTACTTTTATATTTTTATGCCTATTATTGAAAACTGCCATATTTAGAATTAATAGAGTCGGTTTGGGCCTATTTTCTCGGGGAGGGAGTGTCCTCTTAGAGTACGAAATTCAACTTTTGAATTGTCTGACAAATACGGTAAAAAGGTTCACCTTTAACTGTTCATAACTTCTGAATCAGTGGATTCCTCGTCTGAAAACTAGCATTTTTGGATTTCGCTCGCCGAAATCTACAGGATTATGTAAGAAAAACTTGAAAATTTTAGGTCCGCCAAAGTAAAGTTTAATCAGTGGAGCCTCTGGTGCTAGTTTTAGAAAGCATCAACTGTAAATCTGAACACCTCTCAACGATACTCACAGTCATAGACTTTCGAGGGATCGGATAGTTCTCGGCAGTAAGCAAAATGGCGTCATTGTGGATGGTGATGTCGTTGACGGTTTCGTTATTTTTAACACCTTTTCTTATGTTTTTGCTTGCCATTATATTTTTGGCTTCTATTGGAAAGTCACTCGGCGTTAGAAGATTATACATAAAATTGTTGTTAGCACTTTTCGAGGTAAGACATCTATTAAACACAGATTGTAATTGTTGTGCTGTGCCGAACAATTTTCAAAATCGTGAATTGACTTGGCAATACTTGTATTATCAATGATATACTCTAAAGTTATGAATAGAATGGATATCGTCGTCGATATGTTCGTACGAGTCACATTCTTTCCTTATATATATTTTGGAATGAACTTGTCGACGTGAACACGTGTCTATTATAAAAATAGTTTCTCGAAAATGCGACACTTCTAAATTATATTCGAGAACTCTTTAGAATTCCACGTATATTCTTCGATTCAAACGTAGAGTTTCATTCAAGTTTCAACGCTCGCGCCAGAATTCAAATCGTTTCCCTGAATACATTTTTTTAGCGTTCAGGGTGTTTTGGTGTACTATGTTTACATATTGTTAATATTGTTTCATCGTCGTCTGTTTTGAAATGCCGTTCAATGAAATGCACCGTAATATTTACCCGAGTCGAAGTTAGCGTAGTACTTAATTAACGATCAACAAGTTGTACTACACTCTTCTCATTTAATTTCATCGCATTTATAGTTCACGTTCATAACTAATCGGTGACAGTAACGTAATCGTCGTTCTTACGAAATAAATGTTGAAAACGTTAAAAATGTTAACAAAACTGTCGTTGGACTTTTTTTTTTATATATTTTTGTAAAATATGATAATAAATCGAACGAGA